CCTATTCAGAAAAGAGTGAAGAAAATTGTGAAGGAATTTGTCACCCCTACCTCTACCACCCCCACCCTTGTGCAAAAAAAAAAAAAAAAATCCATGTGTTAGAGGAAATGGAGAGGCTTAGCCTAAATCCGAGGTAAATGCTTGAAATCTTGATGCTGTTCTCAAAAATATGAAAGGTTTTTGTGGAAAGGGACTAGGCCATGGAAAGACAAATTTCTATCAGCCGGAGAAGTCCAAGATGATAGAACTGCTTAGAGAGGCAGTAAGTTCCCCATTGCTAGAGGTTTGATGCCTTTGAATAGAGGTATTGGTGAAGAATACTGAAAATACCATGGACTGCCAGAAGAACGAACAAATCTATCTTGGAAGAAGTGCAGCCAGAATGCTTCTTAGAAGCCAGGATGACCAGACTTTGTCTCATCTACTTTGGGCTTATTGTCAGAAGGGACTTGTCCCTGGAGAAGGATCTCATGCTTGGTAGAGTAGAGGGTCAGCAAAAAAGGGGAAAACCCTCAACAAGATGGATTGACACAGTGGCTGCAACAATGGGCTCATGTATAGCAAGGATTGTGAGGACGGTGCAGGACCAGGCAGTGTTTCATCCTGTTGTACATATGGTTGCTATGAATTGGAGCCAACTTGATGACACCTAACAACAACAACATAAGTGTTACTAACCTAGTTTGCATAAAGTCTTGATGGGAATATAGTAGCAAGGATTTTAACACTGGGAGATAAAATTCCCATGGGATCTAGTGTTCTCCCATTATGGTTTATGGGCTTCTGAGTTTGGTACCTGAAGACTTAAATACTGTTTTTCAGCTTTTCAGACTTAATGTTTTGAGCACAGGCCCTTTGAGTGACATAAATGTTAGAGGTCTGATGTCTGGCTCTGGTTGTTCATAGCCTAGTTGAGACAGCATAAATCCAAATGAAACAGTTGTTTAAGGCTGTTCAATATGCAATGTAGACTGTTCAAATGAAGACATAAAGCGTCTTAAGAGTTCAGAGAATAGGTCATTGAGAGCTGTAATAGAAGGGAAAATCTTCGCAGACAAGACTTCAAAGTCCATGTTGGTGTGCACCAGGCAACGTGAGTGGCTTTGGAGATGATGGTAACAAAGATGTACCGTGTATATAATAAGCAAACATGATTAGTTGCCTCTTTCTTTTGATGGCAGAATATGATGTGCCCAGCTGGACTGTCACCCGCCATATGCACAGATCTTTTAAGAGTGTCTCTTTCCATTATTGCTCTCACAGCCACTGCAGAGCTCCCTGCAGATGCAGGCTCTGGGCTCTGCAGCTCCTGCTTGCACACAACCTGTGTCTCTAATGGATTGGTCTGACAGCTTTTATTGACCAAGCCTTCTGTTCTTCAGCTCCCTGCTTGCCTCTGACCCTTTCCAAACTCAGCAGCCCTTTTTTTCCTCAAATGACAATCCTCTTGGCCTTGGAGAATACTACCCCTTGCCCTCTCTAGCCGTGATAATAATTATGATAATAAATAATCCTCTTACATTTGTTTGGGGCTTTGAGGTTCACATCCATTCTCTGGTTGGGCTATCATATTAGTACTGGGAAGAACATAGGGCCAGTGCTACCCTGAGATGTGAGGAGGTCAGATCACTTGCTCAAGGTCATACTGAGGACATGAGCTGGTTCTGGGACAAGAACCCAGGTCTTCTGACCCCTGAGCTGTTGTAGCGAGAATAGCACCATAATTCTCCTCATTCCCAGGACTGGTGTGTCTGAGTTAGGCTTAGCATGAGTCAATCAGGAACCTTGTCTCTTTGGTGTTTGTGTTCCCAGTGACCAGCACAGTGTCCAATCCATAATCAACACTTTGTAACTGTCAAGTGAATGAGTGGATGACTAAATAAGGCCCACAGGATTATGATCCATATGATTACAGAGAAATTCATCTCACCCACAAGACATTTAGGTTTGGGAAATCTCCCAGGTGGCCAGCTCTATTGAAAATCATTTTCAAAGGCTTGCTTCCATGTCATGAGTCTGATTTGGCCAGGACCACTGATGCTTACCTGGAATCCCAGGGCTGCTTTGGAGTAACCCAGCTGTGTGAGGAAGGGCTAGGAGGAGACACCATTCCAGGTTACATCTGACTTCCCTCTGTTTTTTTTTTTTAGTGGTTTGCAAAATTTTTCACTTTGAGACAAGAAAATTGACATGTGAGTGTGAAAAATACAGGGTTTATTAATTTAATCAAATAAAACCTGGAGCAAATTTAATATAATACATTTAATGATGTTAGAGAATTAATGCCCTACATGGTTATTAGGCATAAATGGTAAACACTTTATATGAATGATTGTAATTAGTATTGCTTTAATAGAGTCAAATCAATTTTTAAGTGTCTCTCATCTCACTTTATTAGTTCTCCAGCATTTATATAGTTGGAATCAATGTCTAAACTTTTCCTCGATATCATTTACCATCTAGTATCTGAGTTTCTTCAAGCACAGAAAGATAATTCCAAGGACCAAAAGAAGACCATTTGCTTTCTGAAAGTTCCTTCAAACTGTATCTATTTCTGCCCCTAAGCATTCTCTATCAAACAACATAGACCTTTTTGTTATTATTATTTTATTTTCAAAATTTTCTTTTATTCATTATGGAGGAGCTGAGAACAAAAGTAGGAATCCCAAACACTTACTAAGAAGAGATTTCTAATTCTTATCCAAAATGCATTTATTACATCAGGGATATCAGAACATATCAGGAAAGACTGTGCCCAAGTTCATGGGGTCCTTAGTGGACGGTCACTTTTGTTGATCAACACCGCAGACCATTGCTACACAGTTGGTCAAGCCCAGGTTTCAGAGCCAAGAAAGGAACTCAGAGGCTGGTGGTCTGATATGAGTGCCCCTGACCATGGACACTCATACCTGTGTCTGTGTCAATCTGTAGACCTGGAAGAATGTCACTTAAATTGGGCCCTGGCTTCTGATTCATTACTCAGTCCGTGTGCATGGTACAATTGTTCCGCCAGTAGGTGAGGAAGGGGCAGCAAAGTCAGATGTGGTAAAACCTCAGGCACTAGGTCTGGCACTGGATTAGAGCCTCACATAGACATGGGAGGTAGGAGTTAAAATGACAGAGTGCTCCTGTGAATGAGTACATTTCCATCCTTTATGTTTTGTTTTCCAATCTTTCAAATCATCTGAGAAGAGGTCCCTCAATTATCAAAGTCCCTTGCTTGAATACAAGGCTAGGTAAGTTTGCTATTGTTTGCATTTAAAATACTGTTGTTAGGTGCCATTGAGTCAGTTACAATTCACAGCCACCCTATGTACAGCAGAACGAAACACTGCTTGATTCTGTGCCATCCTCACAATTATTGCTATGTTTGAGCCCATTGTTGCAGCCACTAAGTCAATCCATCTTGTTGAAGGTCTTCCTCTTTTTCACTGACCCTCTACTTTACCAAGCCTGATGTCCTTTTCCAGAGACCGGTCCCTCCTAAGAACATGTCCAAAGTATATGAGTTTAGGATGACAGGTGCCAACCCTTTGGGTACATGTAGGTACTACACGATCAACGTCACCCTGTTCACTGGAGCCTGGAATTCCTTTACCAGGAGATGGAGAAAGGATAGGGAAGGCATCAGAAAGAGAGCCTTGTACTGCACAGTCAGAGAAAAGGTATAAAAATGTAATTGCCTGGGATGCTAATGCTTTGGTATGACAACTTCTAGTTTCAGTTCAAATGCAAATATCTTATCCTTCCTATTTGAATTTGGAGTATTAGAAGGAGGATCTATTACTGGGAGAAAAGTGAGAATGGAAAAGGGAGGTAAGGGTTCTTGGGGATGACCTACAAATCTTGTTCCCATGGCTATTTGTGTCTGTATAGAAGCAGTGTACCCAGGCATTTCCTTCCTGTCCTATGGGGCTTTTCAGAGTAGGTAGAAGACACTGAGAATGAGGATGAGGACATGTGATTATCATTAACAGCTTTTGAACCAGCCCTGCCCTCTTGCCATTCCTGACTATGGCCCTGTGCTTGAGATAGAATGAGAAGTTGGACAGGTCTGGCCTCCTTCCTTTATGGTGGGTAATATGGTAGTCGTTGTTATGTTTGTCAAGGAATCTTTTGAGAATCTGCTGAGAAACATGCATCATATAAATGTCTGGACACTGTATCAGGGAGAGTTTTCTGATAGTACATGATCAGCCAGTGCTGATGTGGACAGAGAGAGAAAGAATCCAAAGAGATACAATATAAATCAGGGAGCCAAACAGGAAATAAGCTCACATGGTCCAATTTGTACTATCTTCAAGCATAGAAATCACTGGGTGTCTTAGATTGGGTTTTCTAGAGAAGCAAAATCATTGAAATTGTGTGTGTGTGTGTGTGTGTGCGTGTGTGTAATGGATGCAGGCCATACTCTAAAGAAAACTCCCTTTCAACTGAGTGACTGCTCATAGCAGATCTCATCATGGAGGTGATTAATTATGTCAGATCTCATCATGGGGGATGACTGCATCATTACTGCTAAACCACTTAGAATCATGGCCCAGCCAAGTTGACGCACAACCTTAACTATCACAGTGGACAATAGGAATGGAGTGTCTAGTCAATGCCAAGGAGCTTGGTGTTGAAATAAAGCAGAGTAAAAGAAGATGGGTCTAGGGAAATTTCTTTGAGGAGCATGTAGACCATCTGGGAGTGATGGCCAGGAGACAAAAGCAGCTGGGGCCAAGGAGGGACAGCATCCTGGCTGCTGATGAGGGATCATGTGGAACCTACCAGCAGCCAGAGTAGGTTCCACTGAGCCACTGTAACCTGTAGCCCTGTAGGGTCAGCTAATCCTGAGGAACTGATTCCTACAGCTTTGGCCAACCCAACCCACACAGTCAGCCTATGTCCCACAGCTCCCAATGGTGCTCTGATGTTTGAGCTGCAGGAGTTGCCACTGTGGGATAAGGGAATCTCTGTGCAGACCTCATCAGACTCTCCTTTCACCACCTCTGTAGGAAAATTGCTGATTATGATGAAGAAATCCAGCATCTCTATGAAGAGATGGAACAACAAATCAAAAGCGAGAAGGAGCAGTTTCTCTTGAAAGTAAGTATCCATTCCCAGACTTGGTTCTGAGGGCCACATTAAATATCAACTATTCCATAAGATTCACTCCTACTGCTCCTCACCCCCAGTTTAAAATTGCAATACCCCCACCCAAGGCACTATTGATTCCCTCTTACTCTGCTTTATTTTTCAAAGATCTTGTCACCGTCAATGGTGGCACATAATTTTCTTATTTGTTTTTATTGACTGTCTGTCTCCTCCTACTAACTGTAAGCTCCACAAGAATAGGGATCTTTATCTTTCACTTCTAATGTATATTCAGGAGCTCTGGTAGTGTAGTGCATAAGGCACTTGACTGCTAACCAAAAGGCTGGTGGTTCAAACTCACCAGCCACTCCTCAGAAGGAAGGTTGGGCAATCTACTTCTGTAGTGATACCACCTCGGAACCCAAGGAGGGATCACTATGAGTCCAATCCAACTGGACGGCAAATAACAACAACAACACAATGTATCTTTAGCATCGAGAACATGTCTGGAATATAGTAAGTACTCAACAGATACTTATTAAATGAATGGGTGAGCAAATGAATGAACAAGTGAATGAATGAAGCAAATTAATGAATGAAATAAGCAGAGCAAAAGAAGCTTCTCTGAGGAGCATGTGAACCATCTGGAAGTGATGGCCAGGAGAAAGAATGGAAGGATAAGGTGCATGCTTTACCAGGAAAGGCAGCCTTAAGATTGGATCTGACATTGAGTGGACTCAGATCTATCCTGCCCACTCACATGCATCAGCCCATTCCACTCCAGGCTCAACAACTGCTCCAAGGGAACATTTAAAAAACAAAACAAAACAAAAAAACACTACCCTCGAGTGGGATCCAACTCATAGCGACCCCTCTTTGGGTTTCTGAGGCAGTATATCTAGAAGTAAATTGCCCAGTCTTCCTTCTGAGGAGTGGCTGGTGGGTTTGAACCTCTAGCTTTCTGGTTAGCAGTCAAATGCCTTAGGCATTACACCACCAGAGCTCCTAAGGAAACATATTGTTGTTGTTGTTGTTGTTTGCCATCTAGTCAGCCCCGACTCATAGCGACCCCTCCTTGGGTTTCCGAGGCAGTATCACTACGGAAGTAGGAATGCCCAACCTTCCTTCCGAGGAGTTGCTGGTGGGTTTGAACAGCCAGCCTTGCTACCCCTATTATCCTCTTAGACACTTAGAAAAATTAAAAACAGATGAAAAGAAAATTCCAGCTTTCTCAAATACCATGGGAGAAAATTTAAGACTTATATCCCTTATTCCCAATCATATGGCTCTTACTTAGCCATTTACCAGCCTTGCTGTTTGTCCTGGGAATGAAAGACTGCTGCAGTCTTCTCCTCTACCAAACTAAACAGGGTTCTTTCTGACAAATATTCATAAAAGAAAGCTCTAGAAAACTCTCTCTTATTTAGTTTTGGATTATCTACTTGGTGGGTTATTAGCAACCAGTCTTTGATCTAGAGTGGTACCCCCCTCCCCCCCACACACACACTTGGCTCTCAGCACTGAGCCTGGCTATTATCCCAACCCTTTTCCCCTTCCTTAATCCAGGTTGATTTGAATCTATTTTTGATTTTATGCTGCCTCGGGTTATCCACACTACTGCTCCATTTATTATCGCAGATGTTTTCAAACTGAGAGGGACTCAATGCTTTTCAGAAAAAAAAAAAAAAAAACAGTCAGGTTCTCTAACTCCTAGAGCCCTCTGAAGGCTTGTCAGTGTTTCCAGACCTTCCTTCTGTGTGGCCCTGACCTTCAACACAGTTGAATGAATATGCAACAGACAGAATTCACACACTCCTCACGTGGAAGACCCAAAATAGTTTTCTGAAGTGGCAACCGTTTTGGCTTGCAATAGGAGGGCCACCCTCTTCGTCCCATAGATTCTCTACAGAGTGAGCCTGAGCTCAGCCTGGACTCCTCAGTCTAGGCCAGGACTACATACAGGTCAAAAGTCCTAGCTAAAGAAGGATGTTTCCAGAAGCAAAAGGTGGGCCAAGGCATCGGGGGGAGGAAGGTTGGAGGAAAAACTTCAAAAACAAATTAGTATCCTATAAGGTGGTAAGTCCACGAAGCTGAACCCTGCTCTCCTATCCCCTCTTCTCCTTTCTTCCTTCTCCATATGAAATGCCTTTAAAGCTCAGTGCTTAGATTTATGCTTTCTGCATAAACATGGAAACTGTGTTCTATGACTTTGCTGGGGCTAGCTCCTTCATGCCAGAGGTACTACCAGGACAGAGCTGCCTTGGGAAGGAGTCATTCCATATCAACAGCAACCCCAGGGGACTCTGGTAGTGAGTTATATGGAGGTGATAATAATTTCTTCTCTTCCTGTATATTTTTGCATCTCTGTTCTGCCTTCAGGCAAGTGGAGGCATTTTTGTGTGCCACCTTGTCGATTCTAACTCAGTGACCCCATAGGTCAGAGTAGAAATTCTCCATAGGGTTTCTAAGGCTGTAATCTTTATGAGAGCAGATTGCCAGGTCTTTTCTTCCACAAAGCTACTGATGGGTTCAAACCACCAACCTTTCAGTGCTTAACCACTGCACCACCAGGGATCCTTGAAGGAAGTATAGGTAGATATTTTTGTTTCTATTCCATGGACAAAGAAATAGGAATCCAGAAGAATGAAGTGGATTTTCCAGAGTCACCCAGCAAGTTAGTTGGGCAAGATCAGAGTAGAACCCAAGTCTCTGGGCACCCAGCTATGGGGCCTTTTAAACAAGACCTGACTCTTTTGAGTCTATGCATCCTGGTCACCCAGGCACTTTTCTCTTTATCCCACAGCCATGTCACTTCACACCTGCATCATCAGGGCCTCAGCCTCCACCCTGCTCCCTCTACTCCCCTCCTACCCCCCAGTGCTGAAGCACAGTTCTAGGGTGTGGTATCCTTAGGGAACAAGGCATTGTTGGTGAGGAGGAAAGGAGGAGAGATGGAGGAGAGGAGCAGGGACATCATGAGGAACAGGGCTTGGAAAATCCTCAAGCTCAGTGGGAAAACAATGAAGACTTAGACACAGAGGAGAAAGAAGTAACACCTTTGTGTTTCCAGAGCTAGGGAAGTTTAAGGGATCAAATGACAGTGCCCAACATGAGACAGAATATTCAAGTTAGAAGACAGCTCAGAGGTCATCTCCCCCTCCTATCTTCCAGTTTACAGATGTGAAAACTGAGGCCTGAGATTAAACCTCAAACTCCTGTTTCTCTGACCAGTGCTCCCCAACAAAGTGACACTATCTCTTTGGGGGTAGAAGATGGTGTGTGGGCATAATCAGGCTTGGAGGGAGTCCACGTCACATCTTACTGAGCATTTACACTGTCTCTGTCTCATCTCATCCTCACTAACAGGGCAAGCAGGGCCCTGAAGCCCTGGGATGTTGTGGGAATGGCCACAAAGTCTAAAAGGATGGGCCCTGCCCCCAAGGCTCCTGTTTGATGAGAGATGTGCCCTTGGTCTCTGCTGGAAGGCTATTGAGTAGGTTTAATGTGAGAAAACCATCTCCAACCCAAGTACATCTGGGCTTCACGTGTCCCCTTTCTGGCTTGGCAGGACACAGAGAGGTTCCAGGCTTTCAGTCAGGAGCTGCGACAGAAACTATTATCTAAGGAGCAAGAACTGGAACAGCTCATCCAGAAGCAGAAAAGGGTATGTTTTGTCAGTGTCCTCAGAGTACCTGCCTCATCATTTCCATCCTTTTCTCTGGCTCTTGCCTATTTTCCCTGCCATTCACTTACAGACTGTGTGTATATATATATATATATATGAGTTTTTTTAGTTTATATATATATATGTGTATGTGTGTGTGTGTGTGTGTATATATATATATATATATATATATATATATATATATATATACATATCTCCAAGAGGAACAATTTAGCTGTACAAAAGATAGCATTAGAAATCACATGTGACTCCAAGATAAAGCCTTTCATTCTCCAGGAGCAGAGGTTTAACTTGGCAAAGTTGCCAAAGACTCCCCATGAGATGTCTGCAGACATTTTAATATAATTATATCCAGGATCTCCCAGAATGCTGAAACTTTGTGTCCTACATCCTGTAAAAGGAGAGAAATGCTACAGTACAAGAGACATTGTCTAGTCATGGATATTTTGGGGGAAGCTACAGACAAGTTAAGGAGCTCTGGTGGTGTAGTGGTTAAAGCATTTGGCTGCTAACCAGAAGATCAGTGGATCAAACTCACCAGCTGCTTCATGGGAGGCAGATGAGGCAGTTTGCTTCTGTAAGGATTTGCAGCCTGAAACTCTGTGGGGCTGTTCTACTCTGTCCTATGGGGTTGCTATGAGTCAGAATCAACTCGATGGCAGTGTTGTTGGTTATAGACAAGTTTCTTCCCTCCAGGATGGCCATAGATACCTCCAGTTAGAAGAAGATCTTAAAAGGCCGATTTGTTCATCCTTTGTCTTCCCACAGCTGAGTGAGGTCCCTCAGTGTCCTTTGAGCCTGCTCCCAAACCGTGCAGATGGATGCAGACAGCAGTGCTCCTCTCTGATGTACCTGAGCCTCCAGGAGGCACGTTGGGTGGTGCATGGTGCAGGGCAGTGCCCATTGTGGCTGGGAAGCCAGGAAGATGGGCCATCCAGGCAAGTTCATGCTCAGCGGCCTTCTCTTCAAAGCAAGGGCTCATGGAGGAGAGGAAGCAGGACACCACTGGGCCCTGTTTTGTTTTGTCTGATGCCGGAAGGAGTCCAGCCCTGGACAGACACAGATACATTGCTTTTCTGTGAACAGAGAGGGCTGTTTTTAGCAACACATTAAAATATGCTTAAAGACACACCATGCTAAGACTTAAGACTGTTACATTCCTGCTGCTACTGAAGCTATGGATTTTGGTTTATTTCCTTCTCCAGCAAGGTGATTTGAACTCCAGGAACTGCCAACTGCCTTCTCATTCCCCCTTCCACAGTTGCACCTGGCTTCTACTACTCTTTCTCCTACTCACTATTATGCATTAAGTTCTTACCAATTAGATTTATCCCTCAAATGAATGATTGCCACTCAATTTAATTACTGCATGCTTGCCTGATTACACAGGAGCCTCTTGAGAATAGCACAAAATTCCTTGTTGTTGCTTCCTCCTCCCCTTACTGGACGCATTCATTAGACTAAATTTATTATGATATATTTGCCTCGGTTGAGTCTTCCTCTGGTAAGAGGATTGGAAGCTCTGCAAAGCATAATTGCCAGCTAAGAAAAGCTGAAGTTATCAAAATGCAGGGTTTTTTTAAAAGTTGCTTTTGGGACATGAGAAAGAGTATATATTCTGTTTGACCTGTTTTATCTATTTCCTAAGAATTCCCAGGGTTTCTGGCTACCATATGAAGCCTCTGTGGGTTAAAGGAATTGGACTTATTTAACTGAGAGAAGAAAATGGAATAAATAAATTTTCTATCAGTACTCAAAATTGAGAAGGATGATTTTATGAAGAATGCCACTCAGCTGTTCTCCATCTCCACAAAGGACCAAAGAAAAGAAATTGACCTAAAGAACAAGAAGAGGAATTTAGGTTAGATCTCAAGTCTGTTATGACTTTGGGATGAAAGACATAGATGGACTGTGAAATTTCCTCTCCTGGTGGTTTTTATGAATGGTGCAACTCACCCTGGACTGTTTAGAGGTGCTATGCAGAGATAGTGGAGAGATGAAGATATGTTCTGAAAACTCCTTCTGGCTACAGAAGTTTGAATGTGAGAATTAAGAAGCAGGACAAGGCTTGAGGGCAGTGAGAAGTAGCAGTGAGCACCCCTGCTCAACCAGTAGGAAAAGCAAAGTGAGGCCAGGCAGGCCAGCCTGATGATGGAGGTTGCTCATCATGCCCCTCTCCTCCTCTGTTCCCCCAGCTGGAAGGCCAATGTATAGCCCTGCACAATGACAAGCATGAAACCAAAGCTGAGAATACCAAGCTGAAACTCACCAACCAGGAGCTGGCCCAGGAGTTGGAGCAGACCTCCCGTGAGCTACAGGATGCTCAACAGCAGCTGGAAAGTCTCCAGCAGGAGGCCTGCAAACTGCACCAGGAGAAGGAGATGTGAGTCTGGCCTTGGTGCATCTCCCCTGTTGTCCTCCAGCTCCATCCTCTGCTGTGGGCGGTATCTCCTATCACAGAGACACTTTCTCCTGCCTGTGAAATAGGGATTTGGGCTTACTGCTCCCTGAGACCCCTTCCAACCCTCTTCTATAATTCTGTTGTTGATGTTGTTGTTATGTGCTGTTGAGTCGAACCTGACTCATAGCTTCCCCTCCTTGGGTTTCCAAGGCAGTATCACTATGGAAGTAGATTGCCCAACCTTCCTTCCGAGGAGTAACTGGTGGATTTGAACCGCCAGCCTTCTGGTTAGCAGTCAAGTGCCTTAGCCACTATGCTACCAGAGCTCCTTTTATAATTCTAGTCTTCTATTTTTCTAGAAGACTACTAAGCAGGCCAGACTGTGCCAGACATTACAAAAGATTGACATGAACGATCCCTGTCCTCAGTAAATTAATTATGTGATTAGAAAGACATTATTCAACCAACAAATATAAAATCTTCTGTGAGCAAATGCTGAGTTGAGCAAACAGACTGTACATGGATTAGTCACAGAGACTATAGAGAGAAGTAGGGAAGGCTTCTGAGATCTGCATTTGATTTGATGGAGCCTGTTACAGTGCAATGGAATCTTTACTCCAGCTCTTCTCCCTCCTCTTTTTTTTTTTTTTTTGATGAGCATTCCTCGAATTAGGTTGTGTGGCCCAACTGGTAAAAATTACATCTCTTAGTGCCTGGTTTGCTGGCAACCTGTTTCTAGTGGCCAGTAGTTGGCTTCTTCTTGCTGTTGTTGTTATGTGCTGTTGAGTCACATCCGACTCATAGCACCTCTCCTTGCGTTTCCAAGGCGGTATCGCTACGGAAGTGGATTGCCCAACCTTCCTTCCAAAGAGTGGCTGCTGGGTTTGAACCGCCAGCCTTCTGGTTAGCAGTCAAGTGCCTTAGGCACTGTGCTACCAGACCTCCTGCTAGGCAGAGGCAAACCTGAGGAAGGATCAAGGGGTGGCTCTGTACTTCAACTAGAGGAGTCACTGAGATCAGACGTTTGTCTTGGGAGCATCAGGCTTTGAGAACAAACACACTCAGAGCCCAGAAAGAAATATCTCACTTGTTTACTTCTTGTTTTTCTATCCATTCACTTATCCAAATCCTTTTGGCCATTTGACAAACATTTATCAAAACCCACTCTATGCCAAACGCTGTGTTGGGCATTTGACATACATTATTTCACTTGACCTTCACAAGATCCCAGTGTGGCAGGTGCTATTATTAACAACTTCAATTGATGAGTGAGGAAACTAAGGTTCAGAGATTTTAAGTAACTGTCGCAAGATACTACATGTTAGACATAGTCGGCTGATCTTCCCCAGAAAATATGTTTTTTCATAAATTTTAAGTCAGTCTGCAATGCATCACCATTTCTCTTTCTTTCTTCATTGCCATTCCATGCTGTACCTTCCTTTCTTCCTTTTCTCATCAAAACATGGATTTTTCTCCATAGAGTATAATCTTTTTTTTTTTTTTAAAGCAGTAACCCCATTTTTTTCCTTTCCCCAAACCCTGGTAACCAGTAATGTACTTTTGTCCCTATGCATTTACCTAATTTTAAATATATACAATGTTTTTTATTATGTTTTCAGTGAAGGTTTACATAGCTGTTTAGTTTCCCTTTCAACAACTTCTGTACAAATCGTCTAATGACATTTTTTTTTCAAAGTGTGTGAACACTCTCATTATTCCTGTTCTGGTTGTTACATTTCCATTAATCTAGTTTCCCTGCTCCCTTACCATCTCATCTTTGTTTTGAAGTAATTGTTGACCATTTGGTCTCGTATAGTTGATTTTTTTAAAGCAGCACAATACTCATGTGCAATATTCTTTATTTTATGAGCTAATCTGTTATTTAGCTAAAAGGTGACTTTGGGAATTTGTTTTGGTTCAAAGTTTAAAGAATATCTCAGAGCTATAGTCTTGGGGAATCCTCCAGTCTTAACTGGCCCAGTAAGTCTAGAATTTTTAAGAAATTGAGGCACTGTTCCACCTTTTCCTACCTTCCTATCGGTATCCTTCTATTGTGTGCATGGTCAGAAAGGTCGGTGGTGGTAGCTGGAAACCATCTAGTTCTTTAGGTCTCTGGGTAGATGAGGCCTTGGTTCAGGCAGACTATTAGTTCTGTAGAATAGGTTTTTCTTTGACTGTTGGGTTTCCTTCTTTCTCTTTTGTTCCAAATGAATTGTTATTGCTGTTCAGAATATATACAGCAAAATAGACACCAAATCAGTAGTTTCTACATGTACATTACAGTGACATTGCTTACATTCTTTGAGTTGTAAGACAGTTATCTCTCTTGAGAGTTCTCACCCTCTTTTTCTGATTTATTCCTTCCTCACTAACATAAAGTCACTGCTCCCTTAGTTTCCAGTCTAATCTTTTGAGTTGCTGTTGTCATTTGATCCCATATAGATAGATCTTGAAAGTACACAATGCTGAGAGCAGGTATGCTTTACTAATTAAGCTAAACTATTGTTCTTTTTTTTTTTTTTTTTAAAGAAGACTTCAAGTGATTATTTTTGATCTAAGGTTTGAAGATTATCTCAGGCAGTAGTTTCAGGGGCTCTTTCAGACTCCATGTCTCCAGAAAGTCAGTGATTACACAGTATTTTTCCTTTTGTGTCTGGCTTATTTCACTCAGTGTAATGTTTTCAGGGTTCATCCATGTTTAATGTGTATCAGGAATTCCTTTCTCTATATGGTTGAGTAACATTCCATTGTATGGATTGCATATACTGCATTTTGTTTATCCATTCATCTGCTGATGGATCTTGGGTTATTTCCACCTTTTGACTATCGAGAGAGAATAATGCTGTTGTGATCACTGGTGTGCAAGTATCTGTTTGCATCTCTGCTTTCTAGTCTCTTGGAGTGGAGTTGCTGTATTTTGAGGCAATTGTATGCTTTACTTTTTGAGGAACCACCAAACTATTTTCCACAGTGGCTGCACCATTTTATATTTCCATTGCAGTGCATAAGAATTCCAATTTCTCCACCTTCTTTCCAACTCTTATAATTTTCCTTTCCTTTTTTTTTTTTTTATAACACCCATTCTACTGGGTGTGACATGCTATCACATTGTGATTTTGATTTGTATTTGGTAGCATAGTGGCTAAGGCACTTGATTGCTAACCAGAAGGCTGGC